TAAAGTGATCACCTGCTTATTTCCTGCTCTGCTTTACATTCCTTCTCCTCCCTATATTGAAAATAGGGTCACCAGTGCTACCCCAGATTCTGTATTTGTAATATTTAGTTGAATTCTAGGATCTACTTCTCTCACTGGACTTCTAGTAACATCACATATTGGGACTCTTGCTTTAATTATGGGAGAAGCAGAGGTGAACTAAGTACTCTTGTTTTTTTTTTTTTAAGATTTTATTTATTTATTTGAGAGAGAGAGAGAGCCCGAGAGGGGGGAGGGTCAGAGGGAGAAGCAGACTCCCCGCCGAGCAGGGAGCCCGATGCGGGACTCGATCCCGGGACTCCAGGATCATGACCTGAGCCCAAGGCAGTCACTTAACCAACTGAGCCACCCAGGCGCCCTCTTGTTTGTTTTTTAGAGAGCGAGGCGAAGAGGTGGGGGGAGGGGCAGAGAGAAGGAATTTTAAGCAGGCTCCACACCCAGGGCAGGGCTCCATCTCACAACCCTGAGATCATGACAGCCAAAATCAGGAGTCGGAAGCTTAACCGACTGAGCCCCCCAGGCGCCCTGAACCAAGTTCTATGTATTTCAATAGGAAAATCCCCATTAATCTGATAGAAACAAACGAGATTTAACATAAGAAATAAATTACATTCCGTCTTAGCCTATTGTTTAGATCTTTATGTATTCACGATTGAAATAGCCAGTTTCTGTATTGCTTTGAATAATTTTTTTGGTTGTCATACTATTAAAAATAAAGTTTTTCTGGTGTTTTAATACTATTTTTTAGTTATTTGACTTACCTTCTTTTTAAAATATTTATTTATTTTTTGTTTATTTTGACTTTATGCTTTTCTCAGTTGTCTTACTAAATAGTCAGACATTCTTGATGTAGAAAAAATTAAAAAACTGCTGGTGGTGTTTGTATGCTTTCCTGGCAGTCATTTAGTTTATTTATATAAAATAATTTCTGTGTAAAGGAAGGAACTGGTTCTAGTTTTAACAGTAGCAGAGAAGGAGAAAACATCTTCAGACTTGTATAAACTGCAGAAATCCAAGGTAGTTTTCTTGTTCCTTCACGTAGGGAAATAATACATAGGTATAAACAAAGTTGTAAACAAAGTACCCAAGGATTAGAAAGAACCAGAGATCTCTGATGCTTGAGTCTTCTCTCTATGGGTCACATAGGCAGCTTGAGCACTGTTAGTGAGGGGGAGGGCACTTCCTCTTGATGCATGCATTCTGTCCTGCCTCTGGGCAGCTCTGAGTTTTATGGAGTTTTTTTTGTTTTTTTAAAAAAATCATGTGTCCTATATCAATAGTAAATACTATTAGCAAAGCCTGCATTTTGCAAATTAAATCTTCAAGGTAGTTGTTTAAAAAATTTGTTCAGAATACATTGCTCTGTAATGCCTACTTTATTGATGCTACTTCTGCTATGTGTAGCATATCGAACATGTCTAATTCCTATTACACATGATGGACTTTTAAATTCTTTACGGTAGCTGTTACTTCCTTTGTATCTTACCACCAATATCAACATCCTTAGGTTTTTTTGAATGACATAGTTTTAAGTTCTTATTTTCATTGCTCTTCTGTGAATATATTCCATTTTCTTCTATAGTTTTACTTAAAGTATGGTATTCAAAACAGAACAAAGTATTATAGTGTGAACTAATTCAGAGTAGTTTGGGAGCATTCATGCCCTCATTCTCAGTTCCATGCTTCTGTGAGTATAGCCAAAGGCTTTTTATTTATTACAGTTAACTCACTGAGCTTTAAATCTAAATGAAAATCCTGTGTCCTACTTAATGCAATGCAAACTGCTGCTCTCCCATCTTAGACTTGACTTTTTGGAATTAACATTAATCTTTGTTAAATTTTACTTGATAAAATTTTGCAGTGTGTTTACTGTCCTTTCCCCTTCATGTCGCATGCATAATTGATACCCATGCTTTCATATAGTTTAATCTGAGTCCGTGATGATATTGTTGCCTGGGATAGGGTTACAGTCCAGAGGTGCTCTGGGGAGTTCTGGTACAGACCTCTTTACAGTTTTACTTTGCTCCATTAAAGTAATCAGTACTATACCTGTTGATCTATTTGTAAGTTTTCTTGTATCTAGGATATTCAGAGCAGAAGACAGCTCATCTCTTTATGCATTTTAGGCTCTAGTTTCTCTTTTACCATTTATTTATTT